CTCCTCCTCTCCTCCTTCTCCTCCTCCCCCTCCTCCTCCTCTCCCTCCTCCTCCTCTCCCTCCTCCTCCTCTCCCTCCTCCTCCTCCTCCTTCTCCTCCTCCTCTTCCTCCTTCTCCTCCTCCTCTTCCTCCTTCACCTCCCCTTCCCATCCCCCATCCCTCTGAACGACCTTAATCCCACAGAGTCTGTTCCCGGGCATCGTCGTGACCCTCGTGGCCTACAGATACTACTCCTCCACGAACTCGGGACTCCCCTATGGAAGAACTGCCGTGGTCGTCAGGATCCTGCTGGCCCTTTCTTCCTTGATCCTTCTGGCTTCCGTCATCCTCTTCCACGTCGACCTCGCCTTCGTGTGGACGTGGGCTCCCAGGGAATCCTCCGTGGCTTTTCAGGACCCTGATGATGCAGGTGTGGGGGGTTGTGTGTTAGATGTTTATGTTATGTAAGGTAGGGAAGGGGGTGTTTAATGTTGTGTTAGAAAATGTGAGGTGGGGGGAGTGTGTTAGATGTTACGTTAGAAGGGGAGTGGAGTATGTGTTCAATGTCGAATGTTATATGAGGAGTGGTGGCGTGTTAAATGTTATGTTAGAAAAGAAGTGGGGTGTGTGTTTGAAGCCATGTGTTAAATGTTATGTTATGAAAGGACTAGGGCGAGTATTCGATGTTATAACAGGAGTCGGGTGTGCGTTAGGTGTTATGTTGCAAAAGATTGTGAATGAGTGTATGATAGGCGCCGTGTATGACTGAGAATTGCTAGTCTAGAACAGAGGACCTTAGCAAAAATATAGGAAGATGAGGGTGTCGGTCGAGTTTATGATAGCGAGAAGAACTACAGTAAGTCGTTCACCTTGAATGTTGCTTGAACGAAAGCAGACAGACTAAAACAGGAAAGAAAGGGAGAGGTACACAAGGAGCAGTGAAATAATCTTTTAACGCTGGGAAAATAATGGTTTAGAGATATTTAGGGTTAGTGGAGCATGTAAAGCAGAACTAAGACATGTTATACTAGAGGAGTACATATATGCGCGCCGCCTTTGTTTGCTAGAGCGTAGAGTTTTTTTTTTTATTTTGTACACCCGGCGTCATTGGGATAAGGGTAGACGGTTAAGGAAGTGTAGGAAAATAATCATGAGGATTATGACTGCGAGACCCTACCATGACAAAGAAAAGTTGAATGGAATGGAATTTGGCGTCGACAGAATTCGAATGATTGGCCAAAACTTTCTGGAAGGTAAATGTCTGTGCGCGATTGAATAATTAGAGATGAATTATATCTCATTTAATCCTGTAATATCAATGTTGCAGCTGTGTGGGCAGTTACAATATCGGGGCTGGTTGGGAGCAGCAGTAGTCTCATCTGCATACCGGTCACGTTCACCGGTTATCCCAAAAGCAGCGCCTCCCCGGTGGTAGACCGAATCACCATGATGTCCGACTGGGTGTTCCAGTCCTCCCCGACCCTCACCAGCTCCCGGATGTCTCTGAATGGGGTGGTCACAGCTCACAGAAGCTCGAGGCGGGAGATTTTGCGTCGGTCTTTTGAAAGCCCCCCAGCAAACAATTCGGTATCTCATTCTCGTTATATTGACCCTGGAGATATGTGCTCCCCCGTCGACTCCCCATATCGTACCCTGAACACGTCCACGGTCAGCGACACCTTCCCCTGCAAGGAGGCCATCATTGATGTGACATTTAAATCGGCAACCATCTCGGGAAAAACGGCAGTCAGGAGCATGCTGTCGTTCAAGCCCGTAGAGAGCTCGGGGGAAGCGCCATCGCCCTCCCAGTCCTTGCCTCAGCTGATGGGGATCCTCCATTCCAGGGCATGGTCGAGCTCTCCTTCCTTCGCGTTTTTTGATGCTGAGAAATCCGACGCTCCAATATTCCGGATGCCTTCTACCAAAGACGTTTCGAATTGCCAACAGGAGACTGCCACCCCTTCGCCAGGAGCATTTCCTGCACCTATAACGCCTTCGCCCTCGCCCTCACATGGGAATCTCCGAGAACACGATGGGGATTACTCTGCGCAGACAAGTTCAGTTGTACGGAGTCGTCAGTTAAGCACTCCGGCCCATGCACACAATGCCGTATCACTGATTACATTTACTTCGTCCTCCAATTCCTCGTCGAGTTCAGGTCCTGTTACGCCACTGTCTTTTGAAGTTCGTTCCACTAGTAAAAGGCCTCCATACGTGTGGCCTGACTTGTCTTTGTTGCTTCCGTGGAAGCCTAATATCTCTGCTTCCTCTTCCTTCGAGCACCTAAATATAGCCCATGTAGAAACCAGCGGAACCTCTCCTCAACCACTCGACGCGTCTGCGCTAAACTTCTCGCCATTCCCGCAGTGCCCCACGTCCACTCCGGCCCACGAGACGTCACTGACAGTCGCCAAGCCAAAGCCAGCACCGCCACCGAGGTCCGAAAGCCGTAGTCGGGCCACCAAGCCCACGCCTCCCGTCAGGAGTACGCCGTCCCTGGAAGACAACTCTGCCGCACCGACCTCCTCTTCCCATCTGCCCGTCATCAGCATCTCCAAAGCAGAACAGGTCCCGAATTCCGCAGTCAGAGACCAGCAGTTTTCGTACATGCCCATCACTCCGGCTGGAGGCCTGCGGTCGCAGAGAAACCTCAAGCCCGTTTCGAAAAGCTCTCGGCTCTACTCGGAAGGGTCCAAGAAACACGAGATGTCTGACCTATCTTTTAGAACTCCTTACTCGGGACGCAGCAGTAAGAACTCGGATCCCTTGAGCGCGTCCTTCAAGTCGTGCTGGTGAGTCATGAAACTTCCATTTATTCAGTTTTTTTCTATCAATATTAACAGACTGCGAGATGGATGTCCATATTAGAGTTCAATTACAGTACCGGTAGCAGGCATGCATGCCAAAATATTTTTTTCTGTGATGCTGTATAAACAAAACATGCACGTAACACACGCAGTCATTCACTCTCTCTCTCTCGCTCGTTCACTCACTCACTCATTCATTTCCTCACTTGTTATGTTTGTCGTATTGTGAAAACTGACAGCTTACTGGTATGGTAATTGGTATGATGATTAGCGAGACCTTACAAATATTCTCTTTTCCTTGGAAATTTCCCATTCACTTATAAATGATTTCGAATCTGGTTTCATTATCGAGAATTAATTAGATTTTATCTTAAAGATCAAAGAATACTATTTTGAGGAAGATGGCACTTAAACCACAAAGACAGTAAATTATATAAGATATTCCATAATTCTGTGAGACGTGGATGGTCCAAGTAGTCTCACATATGGCCTTCCAAACGGTACTTGTTGAAATTCTTATCACCTTTTCCTAGTCGTCTAATCATTTTCTTTCTCAAACTCTAAGTACAGGAAGGTGAGGCGGTTCATCTTCTGTACAAAAGTTATATTTCATGTTCCATTTCAGGGCCACAGATTTCTGACTACCAAGATTCGACCACAGACACACACATGCGGAGTTGTTACAGTAAGTCGAAAATGTCTTGGTTGCCTCTATTTTTGTTTATTTCTTCTTGTGCAGGTAAATGTTTCCTTGTATGGATATTTTGCATCTGTTTTTTTTTTTTTTTTGACAAACTTTATTTCATGTCTGATCTCAAGCTCGATTTTTTTTAATGTAAATAATTATTGTTATGATTCTGAAGTATTGAGAGAAAGAGAGTTTTAAGTATGTAAATAATGATTGTTATGATTTTGAAGCAGTCATATGATAAACTTAAATCGAGGGCTTACTAAGAAATCATATTAATGAGAAGCTTAGTTTGAAGAAGAACTTGACAAAAATGATTACTCGGAGAGAGAGAGAGAGAAAGAAAGAAAGAAAGAAAGAAAGAAAGAAAGAAAGAGAAAGAAAGAGAAAGAAAGAAAGAGAAAGAAAGAAAGAGAGAAAGAAAAAGAGAGAGAGAGAGAGAGAAAGAAAAAGAGAGAGAGAGAGAGAGAGCGAGAGAGAGAGAAAGAAAGAAAAAGAGAGAGAGAAAGAAAGAAAAAGAGAGAGAAAGAAAGAAAAAGAGAGAGAGAGAGGAAGAAAGAAAGAGAGAGAAAGAAAGAAAGAAAGAAAGAGAGAGAGAGAGAGAGAGAGAAACCGAAAAAGAGAGACAGTGATAGAGAGTGCTAGCAAGCGCAGAGCGATGTACAAGAGAAAAAGAAAATGCCCAAGAAAGCTATGCTTCCTTATGACACAGCACTTAATACTGAATGAAAGTATGATCAGCACATTTTATGGAAATATCTACGTGAATGTTCATAAAGGAGGGGAGTTATTTGTATTTCACTGAGTTAAAAGTAGGCGAGCATACATAGACGAAAAGGAGATAAAGAGCAGAATAAGAGATTGACGGTATTGAAATAACTAAATAGTCATTAAAAATCGTACTCAAAAATACAATGTTCAATTGAAATGAGGAACACACCAGGCAAAGTGATTATAACCGAAGTGTTCGAATTTACAGAGAGAGAGAGAGAGAGAGAGAGAGAGAGAGAGCTGAGAGAGAGAGAGAGATGAGAGAGAGAGAGAGAGAGAGAGAGAGAGAGAGATGTTTAAAACATATAATAAGTTTATTGTCCGTATTCAGTCAACGTGTGGCATCGTGTGTCTTAAGAAAAGGAAAGTGCGTGACCGAGATTTCATTATAAGGAAAAAACAAAACAAAAAATCAGTGGGATTTGGACGTTATCATTCGTATCGATATGATATTAATATAGAGCACTACTATGTTTATTTCAGCACATATTGGCCTAGATAACAGTATATTCGACAATTATCATAATAGATTGAATTGATTGAAAATAGTGCTTAAATACGAGTAATCACTTCCCACTGAAATGAATTTGAACACCGACATGGCTAGTAACAACAATCATAATTCTCATATTCAATCCATAATATTAACAAAAAAATATTAAACATTACCGAAATCAACCTAGGAATCCTCTGAATAATATAAATTAAAAAAATAAATGAAGAACCAAGTCCGACTGAAAATTCCCACCGGATCGTCTGCACCGTGAAGATGACCGGACGCCGCGTTTTGTTTTCCTTTTTCTTATTTTTATCGGCGTTCTGGGGTCCCTGCCTGGCCAACGATGTCCTGGGATGCGGGGGATATGTCAGGAGTGAATTCGAGATCAACTATTCTCAAGTAGGGATTAAACTGTAAGTATAAACAGCGAATTAAGAGCCCGGGGTTAGGACTCGTAGCTGTCACCGATAGCGTTTGACGGAGAGAAATGTTTCCAGTCTTTTAGTTATTTCTACGTTTATTACTTTCGATTCAAGTTTTATTTTCCGCATTTCTTGGTCTTGTAGTTCGTTTTGAAGTGCTTGGCTACGCGCTAATCAGAAATAGTCCATTAATTGGCGTAAATTCTTCAGCACCCAGGGTTTATGGTTCGGCTTGGGGAGGATAGGCCTATGGAATTAATCGCCTTAATTTGCTGTGGTTCATGTAATTCTTCTTTTTTGAGTTTGCCAAGTCTTTTCGATTCAGCCACAGTGACTTTCTTCAGCAACGAGTGTATTTATGTATGATAGAAATTTTGGTAAATTGGGAAATGAAGCATGAGGCTGATTTCCAGGTGGAAACTATGCTTTTCTGAAGGTTGTGGCTACGTTTGCAGTATGGTAATGCAATGTCTAGGCTATTTTTCCAGGAGTTCTGGTTGTGTGTGCGCAGTGTGGAATTCTCAAACTCTGCTCTAATCACAGTACTATATTGTCTAGACAAAAAATCTTCCACATATTCATAGCAGGAGAGAGCGTTGGAGACTTCACATCAGGCGCTCTCCCTTGCCGTGGGCATTGCTTTATGTTACTGTAAATATAGTGACTTGTTTTGGATGAATCTATCAGTCATTCCCATCGCAAATGAAGCACAGCTATGATATCAGTTCTAATATCTGGGGAGGCCATGATAAGTATCAGGGAAATTACTAATAAAACTTTCAGTAATTTTGTTATTGCAAAACACATTCATAATAAATAGGAGGCTTTGCCTTCTAATCACCTTTCTTTCCACCTGGTCTACAAAATCTTTACCTCATATGATCTGGCAGGACGGAGCCCGGGCAAATATCTGGATCTCACAATGATAATTTCTTACCTTGACCAATATATCAGCAATGGCTGAGACAAACTTGTCCAATATGCACGCCATCCTGCTGTGTATCCTTGGAGGATGTCGGTCTCTTAGGGAAGAGTTGGGAGAGAGTAGGATTTAAGCAAACAGTTGATATATATTTCCATTCTTTCACATCTTACTCATTTGATTTCCCCCACTTACATCATCTGTCTGGTTATTGGTCACTCCCTTAAAAACAGACATTCTGAAAAGAGAAGCCAAATGTCTATTCACAATCTTATCCTTCAAGTTCCTATATTTGTGAGACATAGAACTTCCCCTGAAATAAATATATAAGATAAGTTCTCATGCATCCCCTAAGCCTGAATTTGTACCATCAACAATATATCAAAAGTAAGCTTGAATTTTAAGGCAATCCAGTCTAAATTGATACAAGATAAAGAAATGGGCATACAATATGGCAGGTTTTACTTTAATTTTGTAGATTTCTATTTAGCTTATGGAAATTTACAATATATGCTCCCCCAAAATCACATTAATATTTGCACAGTGAATGATAGAATATACCTGGCGGTAAAACTTGGGTACTTCTGAGAGACAGGTGAATATGGTGATTATAAAAGAATTTGGCAGCTAATCTGTCCCTTTAGTAAAGAGGATGATAATAACAATTAATGTTCTTATTTTCTAGGTTCACAAAACAAGGTAACCTGAAATACGAAACAGAATGTGCACCTAATAATGGATATTACTTTATACCTTTGTATGACAAAGGCAATTACATTATCAAGGTAAATTATCACATATGTGATTCGAAAAATGTTTTGCTATAAAATTGGACAGTTCATTGCAATGAGAATGTGTGTAAACAGAAGTTTTAGTTTGTATTCTTATATAAGATATTCTTTGATTATAGTGTGTGTGTGTTATATAATACACAAAAAAAAAGTTTCAGGAAAAATGGAAAAAAAATATAATGTGTGTATTCTTTTTCTGATTTCTAGGTTTCTCCTCCTCCTGGCTGGAGTTTTGAACCAGAAGAAGTGTCCCTGAAAGTAGATGGTGAAACTGATGCTTGCAGTTTAGGACAGGATATTAATTTCCATTTCCAAGGATTTGCTGTCATTGGAAAGGTGAGATGCTGTCAGAAAAGTTTATGGGTTTGATGATGATATTCTTGGAAGCTTGTTTGAAGAAAAAGTAGACATTGTGGAAGATTTGTATTATAAAGATCGGTGAGGCCATTATGTGCAGATCTCTCTTCTGTTTCACTTTTACTGAACAAGGAGCTGTGTTCTAAGAATATATTTATAAGTGGCAGATAAATGAATTTCAGACCATGAAGCTAGAACACAAAGGCCCATTGAGTTCCATTTTCCAAGAAGTTTCTAAGCTCAAACTTTAAGAAGACTGTAATGGTCGTAGTTAGATGATCATCATATTTAGTTGGGATAGCTTCTAACAATCTAAAAAAAAGAAAGGACTCAAAAAATAATCATTAACATATCAATTTCTTCACTGATTCATAAACCCAACTAGAAAAGCCTTCAATTAGAGCCATAGGAGATACTTCCCAAAGGAAATTGGAAATCCAGATTGTGTAGTTTCTTTTGCTGGGAGGACATTTGACAGTGAACAGCTGAAAAAGGTGATGGTGGTGAAGGTCCCACATATAATGGTTTCCATAGATACATAGCCCATTTACTTGTAATGCCAGAAAATAAAAATGGTCATTATAAGGAAAGATACAGAAATGAAATCTTTGCTGAGAGAAAATGTGGAAATGGACGTTTTAAGATTGACCCTTTTGAAAAATAGAAAAGTATATTGTTGCATTTATTTCTTTAGTCATCAAATGTTAATTTTCTAAAACTTCTTTAAATTTAATTTCCCGCAGGTTGTGAGTATTGGCAGTGACTCTGGGCCTGAGGGAGTGATAGTATCGCTTTACAAGGATGACTCGCTTGTCCAGACAACAAAGACTGATAGTGATGGCTCTTACGTCTTCACCCCCTTGTCATCTGGCGTATACACTGTAGTAGCAAGTCACCCTACCTGGACACTGCTCATTGACAGAGTAGGTTTAATGATTTTTTGTGTATGGTCCTTTATTGTTATATATAGTAACTATGAGAGAAAAAATAGGTAGCAGATTATTTGAAAACTTCCATTTAATTTTTTTTATTCTTTATTCAGGTTACTGTAGAAGTTGCAGATGAAAATGGAGATGCTGGTTCATCCTTGGTTGTTGGTGGATACTCTCTAAAGGGGAGCGTGATGTCAGATGGACAGCCTACTCCTGGAGTCAGCTTTGTGTTCCATTCAAAAGAAAACCCAGCTGTTACTCCAAGTAATTAAAGCCAATGCTTTTCATTATTTTTTATATACATTTTTGTAAAGATTACTGTACCTTATTCCATAATAGCTGAATTCTCCGTAAGAGGCATTTATCCTAATGTGAGTGTAGTAATGAATGGAATTCTGAGTTACATTTTCCATGTGATCCCTTAAAATCTTTCTGTTTTTCTGCTCTCTCTAAAACTGATATTTCATCTTGACAGAATGTTCCTCTGGCAGTCCAAAGGGATACCAAAATGTGATTGGAGTGCCCGTCGTGTGCCACGTAGTGTCCGATGAGAAGGGTGTCTTCCTCTTTGGATCTGTCTCCCCTGGCACGTACATCCTCACACCTTTCTTCCAGTCCGACACCACCAAGTATGAAGTTACACCAGATAAGCAGGAGATTGTAGTGGGTCATGAAGATATCACTCTCCAGCAGCCCTTCAAGGTAAAGGGCTATAGATTTTCCTTTGAGCATAAGTTCTTTTCCATAGGAATATATAGATGCAATTGCATCCTCTTTATTATTATGTTTTGTTTGATATCAAATAATTAAGATCAAAGTGTTTTTCTTTTTTAATTAAAGCATTCATCTCTCTTTATCAATTTTCTAAATCTAAATAGTAATCATTGTCACCCAGTTAGTCTCAGTCTTGCAATATAGGAGGGTCCAACTTCTCCAACTTTGCAGCCCATTTCAGCACAAAGCCCAAGTCTTGTGGCAATGTATAAATGCATATATTTATACAGTTAATGGGTCTCAAGGTATACAAAATCAATGTGGTCATAATTTTACCTGTTAGCGAGATATTGGTCAAAGCTTTCCTACAACCAATTTTTGTGTATCATTTGTCATGTTGGTCATTACAAAATGAAGAGGTGTGGAGCATATATGAAAAGAACACCTATATAGGCATACTTATCATGGTTACTAGCAGAGATTGAGTTGATAGAGGACTAAAAAATGTTAAACATGTATCACAGAATGGACAAAGTTAAGTAAAACTTTAAATTAAACCAATCCATACTTATATATATTTATTTTGTAACAAATAGACTAGATCTGACATTGACATTGCACCACAGGCCGCTTGGCTCAGATATTGCTATTTCTAGACTTTTCTTCCAGCGGGGAAAAAAAAAATAATAATGTTGGTAAGCTGTGTGTTTGAAAGTGCTGTCATCCTAAGGTGATCACTTCTGTCATTGTAGCTCTTTCCTGTACCATTTTACTTCCACTTGGCAAATAGCCTGGTTTTAGATTTATATTATTTTCCATGATGATGATAGATGTATATCCTTTTTTTTTTTTTTTTGCTTAATGTTATTTGTTCCTGTTTAGTATAGGAGTAGGGTTCACCCAGAAGTGATATTGCCTTTACTGGTACTTTTTGTAGTCCTGTTTAACATTATTAACATGATGTCTAAAGTGAATTTGTCACTGTTTCCTTGCTTTATTTCTTAACACAGTAGTTATTTGTGTACATGAGTGTTACACACTAGGAGGCGTGCATTTGAAAGCAAATAAGGGAGTAAGTGAATATTTATCCTTGACTATTCATCTCTAGGTTGAAGGCTTCAGTATCAGTGGAATTGTACGTAAATCAGCTGGCGAGGACCCTGTGGTTGGAGCAAAGGTTGTTTTGGACAAGACTCGCTCTGCTACTACAGACACTGATGGACGTTACACCTTCCAGAATGTACAGTCTGGGAAACACAAGATAAAGGTTACAACAGGTAAGATAATTTAAAAAGGAACCAATTATTTCATAATTTACATTTTGAAAAGCTCACTGGAAAACGGATAATTATACCTTTAGTTCTCGTATGGAAGTATGAGTTTACTCCCATATTTCTTACAATATCTCTCCAAATAATCATCATAAAGAAAACTTGTAATGAAACTATGGATGCTGTATGCTGATTACCTATCCTTATGCTTCTATACAGTGTCTTTTATTTGCTAGTAAGTAGTACTAGAAACTATGTCAGTGATGGGATTCAACTTGTTCACATACTGATAGGTAATTAGTGATAACAGTAACAGAGAATTTATGTTTAGTGCTGCTGGGTGAATATAAACTTTAGTTCCTCATCGTATAGATGTTATTCAGTAGTTTACAAATGTAAAATATTATAATTTTCTAATTATTGTTATTAACACCAAGAGATGAATAGCAGTAAATTGTAACTCGAAGCAGTGGCTTGATAATAGGGGCTTCCAAACTTCTCCAAGGATGACTATGATAGTAATGCAAAATAATAATGATAATTAATAATAATAATAATAATTAATGATAATAATAATTATTAATGATAATAATAATTAATGATAATAATAATAATTAATGATAATAATAATAATTAATGATAATAATAATAATAATTAATGATAATAATAATAATAATAATAATTAGTGATAATAATAATAATAATTAATGATGATAATAATAATAATAATAATAATAATAATAATAATAATAATGGTAATAAGATATGATCTTTTTCCAGACAAATTTGAGTTTGATGAAACTGTAGTGAGTGTCAGTCCACAGCGACCATCTGTAGCCGATATCTTAGCAACAAGATATCAAGTATGCTTCTTTGTCAATGTAGAGAAAACTGCAACACATTCTGGACCTTGGTAAGGAAATATGTGCTCATTGTATGATGCAAGTTTTAATAATACTGTAGATTAATAAAAATGGTTAATGGTTAATAGTCTGAACAAATAAATGTGCAGACAACAAAGTCATAGCAATAGATTAATAAAAAGCAGCTTATTTTTTGACATTTTAAAAAATACTTTGTTTCATTTTGTATTGTATTCTAGGACCATAGAGACTGTCAATGCCAATGATCAAAATATACGGAAGCAACTACAAACTGACACGGATGGACAAGGTTGCATTTACCTGCCAGCTGGGATGTACACAGCTTCTATTAAGTTATCTTCTGCTGCTGATGAAGCTGGCATGAGGTAAAGTGTGATTTAGAAATGTTGCAGTATTACAAAGGTTCCTGCTATTGACAAAATATGGACCATAAACAGTGCATAGAATTATGTAATATTGATAAGAGCATGTATTTGAATTTGCTTTTACTGGAGGGATGACACTTGGGGAAATATATACTAAACAGTTTGTCTTCATCTAAAAATGATTTGGTTGGCTAAATTTCTCTTCCTAATCTTTATTGATACTAACTAAATTGATATTCCTTTACAGGTTTGGTCCTGTTGAACATGTCTTCACTGTAACATCAGAGCCAGTCAGTGATCTAGTCTTTTCACAGTTCCTTGGTGAGGTGACTGGAAAAGTGACTTGCCTAGAAAAGTGTCCAGATCTAACATTAGTACTAAGACCATCTCGAGCAAGCTCTGGAGCACCACAGACTACTATAGCTTCAGATGGAAAGTTTGTTTTTAAGGATATTGTCCCTGGCTCATACCAGTTGAGTATTCAGAAGGATGAATGGTGCTGGAAGCATAAGGTTGTGCCCGTAACTATCAATACCCAGAATGTTGAGGTGTCACTTGAACAAGTTGGGTATCAGCTGACTGTTGCCTCCTCTCATGAAACAACACTAAGTTACAGCACCAGCAATGGGGCAACAGGAACTGTGGTTGCTCAGAAGGGCAACACAGTAGTGTGTGTATCAGCATCAGGTATTTACACATTTACACCAGTTGGATGTCATAAATTTGGAACATCTCAAATTCAGTGGGATACTGCTGCTCCAAAACTGATCTCATTATCAGCCACTAAGCATCAACTGACTGGAGCAATTAGGGCAAGCGAGGTTGCTTCATTCACTGTTGGGGTTAAATCTGGAGGACAGGTTAGTATTCTTGGTCCTCTAAACCCATCCCCAGAAGATCCAAATTTGTTTGTGTTTGAACACTGGGTACAAGAAGGTGAAACCATTGTGCTAACACCAGGCTCGCCAACCAATTTGTATCAGTATGAACCATCTTCTCACACAGTTACAATGCCAGAAGATTGTGTTCTGGACGCAGTAACATTCACGGCTGAACGTGCACTCTTTATTTATGGCCGTGTTACTCCTCCTCTGGGTGGTGTGACAATAAATGTAGAAGGGAATGGTGAAGTTCACACATACACTACTGATGCTGATGGAAAATACACAGCTGGTCCACTGGATAATTCAGTTCAGTATAGTGTGTCTGCTGAAAAGAAGGGATATGTCATGAATGCCTTGAAAGAAAAAGGTCACTTTGAAGCTTACAAACTGGCTGAGGTTATTGTTGAAGTAAAAGACGAAAATGGAACTCCTCTGCCTGGTGTATTGATTTCCATGTCTGGTGGGAAGAGTTATCGTCAGAATAGCTTGACTGAGAACGATGGCACAATTGCCTTCCTATCTCTGACTCCAGGTGACTACTTCCTTAGACCCATGATGAAAGAATACAACTTTGATCCTCCATCAAAAATGGTGACTGTAGATGAGGGTGCAACCATCATGGTTGGCATCAGGTAAGATGTTTTGAAAAATGGGTTTGTATTTACAATGATTTTCATAATGATTTGTTTTTCTTTTATAAATTTAATGAATCCTATTGCCTTGGAAGAAGAGTACATTTAAGTTTTAGTACTACCCGATTAATTGGTATTCAATTTTAGATTTTATACTTTGAATATTGCTGTGTACTTCCCTATAATGTACCCACATGTAATATTACTCTACACTTTGCAGCGGTATTCGGATCGCTTACAGCATCTATGGTCAGACTGCTTCACTGAGTGGAGAGCCAGAGACAGATGTAGTGGTTGAAGCAGTGGGCAAAGGAAGTGAGTGTGAGCAGTATCAAGAGGAGGCTGTGTCTGACAATCAGGGAGCCTTTAGGATTAGAGGATTACTTCCCAAGGTAAGATCAGAATTATTAAAGATATAATAGATGACCTGAAAATATGAGTCATGGGTTTTCTGTTTGATATTGTTTAATTGTATGTGCTTTTCAAGTTATAGTTAATATTGATTTGCTTTCTTTTTCAGTGCCATTATGATTTGAGGCTGAAAGTAGGTAGTGGAATAAATCAGCATGTCCAGAGAACCTTACCAGCATCGCGTACAGTCCATACTGACAATGATGACATTCGTGACTTGAAGCTTATTGTCTTAAGGCCATTCACACAAATGGATGTTGCTGCAAAAGTCAACACTGATCCTCAACACCTTTCATCTCTTGTAGCAAGACTTTACCGTGAAGACCTTCCAGACTCTCCTATTCACACTGTTAAACTGGGTCTTCATCCATTCTTCATGCTTCCACCAATGACAGCTGATAAGCGTACTTATTTCTTGCGTTTGGACTCTAATCTTCCAACTTCGCAGTATGACTATTCATCTCCAGAAGTTACTTTTGTAGCTGATGCAGCCTTCAAGCACTTGAATCTCAGTTTCCAGCCAACTTTGAGAAGTGTGGATGCTGAATTAAACCAGGGAACTGTTCTAGGATTTGTGATTGCCATATTAGTCGTTGCTGCAGCATTTAATTACAACAGACTTGGTCCCTTTATGGAAAGAGCGTCAGATATATTAAAGAGCTTTGCAGCACCCAGATCATCCCAGAAATTCTCCAGTTCATCATCAGATATTCCAATTATTGAAGCTGTTCGGAAGAAGGTGAAATCCAGAAAAATTTAGAGCTGTGATATGTATGCCAGTCAAGCCATAAAAAGTTTTGAATGAAAAAGACACTAAAAAGACTGTGGGTAATGTATTACTTGTTAAACCCTTAAGAAACATTTGATAAGATTTGATATTGATCCTTGTTATACAGTATGATTGTGTGTGTCTCCTTTCAGAAGATTTAGTTTTTTAAATGGTTACAATGATTTGGTCTTTATTTCCTTTTTGATGTTGCATTGTACCATTCCATCTTTGAAAAATGTCAAATTTGTTTTTACTGTGTAATACATTTGTTCTGAAAGAATATTAGAAATAAAGAAACAAGATGTACAAAAGATAAGAAAAGGCTAAGCTTTAGTTGCACAAGTCTGTATATTTGTTTTGCTCTTTCCCATTATTGTAAGTATTTGTTGTAATAATATTGTTTTACTTTTTGGAAAAAAAAAATATATGTATACCTTTTGCATTTCATTAACATTATACATACGTTGTACAAGTAAGTGCAGATTAATTCAAATCTTGATACATGAAAGTTCAGACAAGTTAGCTGCTGAAATGCATACTTAAATATTCATTTGACATTCTCAAATTCATATGAAGACAGTTGATCTACATACCTATTATATTAAATTGACATCAGTTTATTAAAAGAAAAAGATAGTTAGTCAACAGTGATTACCCATCAGGAAACCACATCTGATATGATCTGAAATTTATATATATATATAAAATAAATGTTCCATGCAAATTAATGTACATATACTAGGTCTCATGTACTTGTATGGTCTGTTACTTGGATTTAGACATTTTTTTATTATATATAAATTAGGCTATGGACAGTACAAATCTTGAACATAGTATATTAGCCATTTAGAAGTTGCTTACACATTCAAATATCACAGAGTAATTGAGAATGGAAACAATGGAGTAGAAATCAATAATAATGATGAATTAAGAATTGCACTGATACACTGAATATGCGACTGAAAATTTCAAAATATTTCTTATCTTGGTTCTTTACACCCATGGTGTCCATCCTTCATACAAGGTTGCCAAGTTGTCTAAATTTGTTGCTTCCCTGATGGTGTAGTCCACCTAGAAAAGAAGTAACATAACAGTGTCAGTGTGGGTGTTAATTTTAATTCTCTATATATTTTAATTTTCTTCATTCTACAGTCCCAAATCTTCAGTTTACAAATCAGGAGAAATTATGTACTGTTTATATACACAATTTTACCGATTATTGAAGAGGAATCCATAGAATAAAAAATTTAGAGTTAGGAATGCAACAAAGCTGATGAAAAGCAGCTCAGGTCTATTTGTCATTGTAATAAGAAAAACACACTTCTATTTACGGCACACAGGTTATATCCCTGCAATCACAAATCTAAAGGAGCTTGGGGGCATTAAAAACATACAAAAAGAAAATCTGAGTTACCTGTTCTGCCACTGATGCTCTCCTAGACGGCTCGAGGTCTCTTCCTTCTAGTTTCACTTTTACTCGGCGCCAAACATTAAGGGCATATGCATTATGCTCTTGGACAACTGTAAAGATATCATTAGAGTTTAAAGAATAATTCATAAGTCTTGATAAATTTCAGGCCATTCATTATGAAGTCATTTGAGAAAGTGAGATGTTTCTCTTGCAACTGTGGTGTGATAAAGATTCATGACAACAATATTGTACTCATTGTTGTAATTTGTCAATCACATAATATGAAAACAAAAGCAACACAACCCACTGTCTTTTAATTTTTTTACTGCCCCAACACCCCACCCCAGCCTACACTCATTTAGTGAACACCCATTACTGCATAAGAGGATGAAACAAATTCTTGAAAGTTATGTGGCTATTGGGTTCTGTAGTTGATTTGTAAAGTAACATAACCACAGTAATTCCAGTGATGATTGGGTAATCTGAATATTTTAATCTGTTTTCATAATGAATTGGTATAACTTGTGCAAGTTTAAACTCTTGTAAAAAAAAAAAGAAACACACACTTAAAAGCACTATATCTGTCTATGAGAAAGAAAAACATAAATGAAATAAATATATGAATTACCTTTTCCTGTAAGTGGATGTCTTTTTACTTTCATCCTGGAATCAGGAGTGAAAGTTTTGGAAGGGGACATGACAACACTTGACTGCCGCAGTAATGGGGGCCTACGAGGCTCTCCATTTGTCTCTTTTAGGGATTCTGCTTCTTCCTGTGCTTCCTCTACTACACACTGATTGCCAAATTCTACCAATTTGTCATATATGGTGCCTGTGTAATAGGTAAAAAGTGTCAAAATTCATTCTTATTTAATACTTTGTTTTACATAGCAAAAAACAAAAATTATATAAACAGATTTTTATCAACATTATTATTACCTTTAGCATTTCATGTGCTCATTTTCCTAACAATTGATTAAATATCTTTGGGAGGAAAAAAAAAGAAAGAAGGGAAGAAAGAAAACAAAGGAAAACAAAAAAGAGGAGGTATGATACAAAAAATAACTTCCATAATAAAATAGTTTAAAACTTGTACTTCACCTGTTTGCATAGTTACTTCCTGCAGCTTCTGCAAATATGACTTTGCCTTTTCTGGAGACAATGGATCATGTAGCATTTGCCTGATGAGCCCAGAAATGCTCTCAGAATAAGTGCGGTAAAGTGCCAGGTACTCGTCTACACCAGCTAGTCCTCCCTCATCCTCAAACTGTAAAACATTTTTTCTTTTTAAGAGTCAAGTTTAAAGAATTATGTAGACCTACTGTAAGATATTTTTACACTTCATGTAAGCTGAACAACAGAAACAATCTAATTCCAAGGTATATCAATTTCCTGTATTACTAAATATCTAGTCTCTGCAATAAAGTTATAATAATCAATAATCAATAGAAAACCTGAATCTTCTATTCAGGCTCATGTCATTTTCATGTAAACAGACTTGCAACTGTCAGCCTTTACCTTTGCCATGCTCTTCAGTAATGCCCTGATGTCAGACATGAATTTATGATGTGTAGTGAGGTGGGTCCTCAAGGTAACAACATTTAAACGAACATTTTCTGCAGCCTTCCTTAGCTCCCTGCTCTGGTCACTCACTAACTTTGTGAGGAGTTCAATGTGGTCTGTGAGGGATGGGAAGGATGTATATTATTTGTCAATTATTATATTCAAGAGGGAAAGAAAACAAATGAAAAGGAATGAGTGAAAAAAACATACAGATTATTGAATGTTTGCAATTTTGTTAAAAGACTGAAAGTGAGTGAATGATTATACACATTTAGAAAAAGTGCACAATAGACATACACCAATGTAACAGAGACACAGAGAAAAAACAAGAGAGAAACAAGTAACATTGTACCTGAGACTGCACAGATTGCATCCTGGAATCAGGAGTGAAAGTTTTGGAAGGGGACAACAACACTTGACTGCCGCAGTAATGGGGGCCTACGAGGCTCTCCATTTGTCTCTTTTAGGGATTCTGCTTCTTCCTGTGCTTCCTCTACTACACACTGATTGCCAAATTCTACCAATTTGTCATATATGGTGCCTGTGTAATAGGTAAAAAGTGTCAAAATTCATTCTTATTTAATACTTTGTTTTACATAGCAAAAAACAAAAATTATATAAACAGATTTTTATCAACATTATTATTACCTTTAGCATTTCATGTGCTCATTTTCCTAACAATTGATTAAATATCTTTGGGAGGAAAAAAAAAGAAAGAAGGGAAGAAAGAAAACAAAAAAGAGGAGGTATGATACAAAAAATAACTTCCATAATAAAATAGTTTAAAACTTGTACTTCACCTGTTTGCATAGTTACTTCCTGCAACTTCTGCAAATATGACTTTGCCTTTTCTGGAGACAATGGATCATGTAGCATTTGCCTGATGAGCCCAGAAATGCTCTCAGAATAAGTGCGGTAAAGTGCCAAGTACTCGTCTACACCAGCTAGTCCTCCCTCATCCTCAAACTGTAAAACATTTTTTCTTTTTAAGAGTCAAGTTTAAAGAATTATGTAGACCTACTGTAAGATATTTTTACACTTCATGTAAGCTGAATAACAGAAACAATCTAATTCCAAGGTATATCAATTTCCTGTATTACTAAATATCTTGTCTCTGCAATAAAGTTATAATAATCAATAATCAATAGAAAACCTGAATCTTCTATTCAGGCTCATGTCATTTTCATGCAAACAGACTTGCAACTGTCAGCCTTTACCTTTGCCATGCTCTTCAGTAATGCCCTGATGTCAGACATGAATTTATGATGTGTAGTGAGGTGGGTCCTCAAGGTAACAACATTTAAACGAACATTTTCTGCAGCCTTCCTTAGCTCCCTGCTCTGGTCACTCACTAACTTTGTGAGGAGTTCAATGTGGTCTGTGAGGGATGGGAAGGATGTTTATTATTTGGCAATGATTATATTCAAGAGAGAAAGAAAACAAATGAAAAGGAATGAGTAAAAAAAACATACAGATAAGAGAATGTTTGCAATTTTGTTAAAAGACTGAAAGTGAGAAGGATTACACACATTTAGAAAAAGAGCACAATAGACATACAGCAAAGTAAGAGAGACACAGAGAAAAAACAAGAGAGAAACAAGTAACATTGTACCTGAGACTGCAACAGATGCATTCTGGATCCACTGTGTGTTAACATCAGCTGGCAGATGGCAAAGTGTGACCAGCATTTCCTCTTGTGGACTGACAGTAGAGTGATACCGTTCTAAAAGCATGCAGCTCTCTTGGCAGGTATTCAGTACCTGTTGGTTATACAAAGTTATTTTTCCAATAAGAAATCTTATCAAGAAAAAAATACAAGTTAATCATATTAAAACAAAAGATCAAAATAACTCCAATGCCTATGTAGTAGTATAAATGTATAACTATGCACTGAATGTTTTCTAATTTTAAAAATGCAGTAAACACTACTTTATTGTTAAACATTTCTATATAAATTTCCTTTTACTTGTATGTAAATTAAGTAAGCTGACAATACTTACTGAAGTGAAATTTGCATCCCAAGTGATGGCATCCACTGTATGAGTTCGAAGAGCCTCATAATGCAGCACAGCATTACAGAGAGATGCGACTTCCTTACTCTGATGTACAAGTTGACTTACCCCTTCAAGAGCCACTTCTACACCATTACTGAATTCCTCCAATGCCTATAAATAGAAGAAAGGGGTAAAAATTAACAGCGGTATATGCATAAACTATCTAGTGCCACTAAATCCTATTCTTAACTTTAAAATATTTGAGATTAGGAGTAATATTTGAGATAAGGAGCAATGCTGAGATGAAAAGCAGTACAAAATTTGAAGACCACAGTAACAACTAATACCTGAGCTATGGTTGGGTTTGAACCAGCTGCCCACTTGAGACGCTGTTCAACATTTCCAGTCAAGTTGGTGTACTTTTCACGCAATTCTGACACATTCTGGTGCAGAGCCAAAAGCGTGCTTACATTTGTTCTTAATTCTCCAAGTAATGCACCTCGACCTAAACACACAAAAAAAATGATCAGATTATCTACAGATATGCACAGTAAATAATAACTTTCAAGAAAAGTTGACAATCAAAAAGAATATCAATCGGAAATAATATAAGCTGTTGAAGGAACAGAACACCAAGAATCAGGTAATTCAATACATTACCTGGCTGGACTGATGGTGCTACAACTCGCTGCTTTAGGTAATCCTCATTATACCACTGATGTCCTAGATGCTGAGCTGTCACACGCTGGTGTGTTGTCCGCAGCCCTTCTGCTTCACCTTCCCAGTGTCTGAAGTCCATACATAAAAAATCTGAGACTTTGTATATGGCCATTATATACAGATAAATAATAGACAAGTGCTATGAAGAAGTCTCCCTTGAAGATATACTTTTATAATCACACACAAAAAAAAATTATATAATGAATCTGAACTCTTAGACCCTACCTGACATATAAGTGATTGCAATGAACAACATACAAATATCTGGGCATACCTCAGGAGTAATTTCTTGCGGACTGCATTAAGATGAAGAGTGAGAGCTGTTGCAGCGGAGGAGGGCAGTGCAGGGTCCAGGCTGTGATGAGTCAAGCAACATTCCAATGCCTCCTGCACTATGTTATCTAGATTCACCCTGCCTTCTGTGCCTACATCCCTCGCTTCAATATAACCTGTAAAACCATAAGATATTTTATCTTCACATAATACTCGGAAACTTTAGGACCTATGTGCGATATTTTTCCATTCACTTTTACTTTTATTATGGGTTATGTTTGACTGATAAATGAGGAAGATTTTCTTTCATAGTTCATTCTTCACCACTGATATGCCTTTTTTATTTAACATTACAACCATGTTCATTAAAACTCCAAAGTTGTAGCAACAAACAAATCAGACCATTAGCATCACTGCTCTGTGCCCAAGCAACTTGAGAATATGTGTCATCTTGCATCTGGGATTATGCCTTGATGTGATAGGTTGCCACCCAGTGCAATTCAATTAAATCTCAAATGAGAGGTAAAGACAAAGAAAATATGCTCTTGTAGGAAATAAGTACTTGATGATAATAATGATGATAATGATGATAATAACAATAAAAAAAAAATAATAATAATAAAAAAAAAAAAATAATAATAACAATAACAACAATACAATACTACTACTAATAATAATAATTATAAAAATAAGTGCATAACCAAGAGAAAAATCCAAGTTCAACGTATGTGCAAAAACAACAACAACAACAACAACAACAACAACTTCACATGGGATTGGGTATAACCGACAGCCTTTCTTATACAACTGACTTACCAGATACATTGATACCAAGTTTCTGACAGTGTAGTAGAAGCAGGTGTGTTGCCAGGTATGAAGGTAGACCAAGCAGCAAGAGAGATACACAATCACTTGCATACCGACGGACAATTCTTTGGAGCCTCTCTTCGTCACATAAACTGTTGCTATTTCTGTTACCTATATGATATAATAGTGGTTAGTGGCCTGTTAAACTTCAATAAAATTGCTCTTTATATGACAACATATATGGGAGATATAATGTCAGAAATATATACAACAGTGCTTACCAATAGGATCATCTCTCCTGAATGCTGGGGAGGACTGGTATGCAGTGGTAAAGAAGTCAACAATAGTCTGGACCTTCTTCACTCTCAGCAAGGACCGTAGAACCTGGCGTAAACTTGGGTCGTGGAGCGGAGCCTAGGTGACAAAAAATTAAGAAAAGAATTAGGCATTCTGGATGAAAATTTTTCTTCACCTACCAAAGACACAGAAATAATGTAACGATTTCCTTTTCTTAGATTACATATAAAAACCCTCTTTCTCATGCTATCCTTACCATTATCTCAGCAGCCTCCCTTGCTGTATCTACTCTTGGCCAAGGCTGCGGCAGTGGTGCACTGCTAAGGGCATCCATGAGTTGGTCTAACTGGGTCTCGACTGCTTCAAAGAGCAAGTGGAAGCCCATGAGGAGCATCTGTCCCTGACTCATGTCACTGCTTCCATCAGAGGTGATTCTGTCTATCACATTCATTAGCTGACTATGAAGGTTTGTTGCTTCCTGGAGAGCTTCTTCATGACGGGGCTAGAAAAGGTATATGGCTTAAGGACAACTCCATATAAATAGTAGATAATATTATTAAATTCAAGCAATATTATTATGATATGTCTTGCAACAGATATAATTCTAATGAATATACAGTTAATGTCAGAAAAAAAGGCACATTTCTCATTCTCTAAGACAAAACTCTATTGACATACTGGCATCATAAGGATCTTTAGCCTTAGGTGTGTAGTGAGGTGCTGGCAGAGTGCAGATGGTGGAGTGGGGGAACTGGATACAACTCCTTGGAGTTCTGTGGCTAGGCTGATCACTGAGGGTTCTCCACGCCAGAACAGTCTTACACCCTCTACAATGATGATTCCACTTGTGTTCAAAACCAATTCCTGCAAATCATCAGAGTTCAAAAGGTTTAGTAGAAATAGTAAACACAACATTTAAAAACTTGATCCTTACAAAAAAATAATACAATCAAATAAAAGTTCACTGAAAAACAAAGCTGCCAGAATAGCTAATGAATGAAACTTTGTATCAAATAAAGCCCAACTCTGGAAAATAACTGAACCTAGATATCTTTTTAAAAAGAAGCCAGATAAATAATGTACTTTAATAAGCTTTTGTTTTTTTAAACATTTTCTTGTGTCAGAAAATGGCTTAGGTTGAGATGATAACTAATAATGGCAAGATAGAGGCAAACCCCAATTCCACTTTATATACTGTACTGGCATATTTCCGGCAGCTTATTATGATTGATCCCTATTTTTAAAAAATAAGACAAGCTCAAAGCATAACAACAATAAGCCGGATTTCCATTATGTTTCTTTCCAGGTTCCCAACTAAGATTACAATTTTCTTGGATTTTAATTCTCCTATTCAGACTATATCAAACACCTAAACAATATACACTTCCAAAGCAAGATACTGCATAATATAATATGGATACAAAATACTTACATGGAGACTTGCAAAGACATCATGTAAAGCTGACATAGCTTGAAAATAAAACTAGAGATATTGTATTTTCCTGGCATCAATAGACTAATATTGGCTAATGTACTATTTGCCAACGCCTTTATCAGACCAAACCCCATTCAATGCGTAGAATTAACAATTCCTTACTTATTCAGTGAAAAGTCTTGCAGGAGTGAAGTAAGCCACACTAGTTGTTCTGACAGCCTATGTCGTGAAAGATGATCGGCTGGGTAATTCACCCAAACACCTCCATACTTTATGAGTAGATCAAGGCTGGAACCTAAACATTCTGCACCTGGTTCACTACTTTGCTCAGCTCACCTGTCTGGGAAAAGGAAAGATTGTTAATAGAAGTTAATCGACAATTGATCACTTCATCAAATAAATGAAAAACTAGAGATAGTGTATTTTCCCTGGAATCAATAGGACTAATATTGGCTAATGTACTATTTGCCAACGCCTTTATCAGACCAAACCCCATTCAATGCGTAGAATTAACAATTCCTTACTTATTCAGTGAAAAGTCTTGCAGGAGTGAAGTAAGCCACACTAGTTGTTCTGACAGCCTATGTCGTGAAAGATGATCGGCTGGGTAATTCACCCAAACACCTCCATACTTTATGAGTAGATCAAGGCTGGAACCTAAAACATTCTGCACCTGGTTCACTACTTTGCTCAGCTCACCTGTCTGGGAAAAGGAAAGATTGTTAATAGAAGTTAATCGACAATTGATCACTTCATCAAATAAATAAAACTAGAGATATTGTATTTTCCTGGCATCAATAGACTAATATTGGCTAATGTACTATTTGCCAACGCCTTTATCAGACCAAACCCCAATCAATGCGTAGAATTAACAATTCCTTACTTATTCAGTGAAAAGTCTTGCAGGAGTGAAGTAAGCCACACTAGTTGTTCTGACAGCCTATGTCGTGAAAGATGATCAGCTGGGTAATTCACCCAAACACCTCCATACTTTATGAGTAGATCAAGGCTGGAACCTAAAACATTCTGCACCTGGTTCACTACTTTGCTCAGCTCAACTGTATGGGAAAAGGAAAGATGGTTAAATAGAAGATTAATAGAAGATTGATCACTTCAGTAAATGAAAAACACATACATGAGCACACCAAAGCACCCATGCATATACTTGACATAATAAAAGTGTTCATCAGTTATATATTTCACATGAATGACCTTAACATTCTGCATTTTTGAGAGTGAAAAATACAATGACAAGGCTACAAAAAAAGCAACAAAGAAAACAACTTACCTTCTGTATGTTCACACTGTGTGGCTAGCTGACCTTGTCCAGCCTTGGTGAGAAACTCTGTCACAGGAGCCACGCTGGCTAACATCACTCCTGCGTTGCTCACTTTGGCTCTCCATTCACCTGCTTGACCTCCTTCAAACACTCTAGCTGCAGTCTAGGGATTGAAAAAATATATAACAAATATGCATCCTATCCTAATTATCCATGAAGGAACAAAATATTCATTATATTGTATATTATTTCTTAGCTATCGTACTGCACATAAAAAGAAATGAGGAAATACAAAATGTTTGACATATGAACTCTTTATGCTCCTTATAAATCGCAAAAGGAGTTTTCTATAATTTCATAACAAAACTATCATCCAGTTCATACCAAATACAGAGTATGCCAGTGTTTCACTTCTATCAGCCTTGTATTCACTAGCTCTTTGGCATGGTCCATTGACTTCTTGACTATGGCATATTCCTCATAACGTGGACGGAGACCATAGAGGTTGTGCTGTGGGTTAGCTTCTGCTTCCTAAAATGTATATAAAAAAAAACAGGTGATATCTTGTAGGCAAATATGATGTACATTACATTACATTGCTTTCAGAAACTACAGGATGCTAAGGGGGAGCGAGATCAATTAAACCTTTGTTTTAAAAAGCAACTAACTTGCTGAGGCACACATCCTAACGAAGTCAGAATCCATTTGAGACTAATTTCGTAAGGAGACCCAGTAAGGTGATGAATGCAAATCAAAACATTTTATCATATCTCAGACACTAGAACAATTCCACCCTTTTGTGATGTGACTGCAATTGTTTAGGGTTTACCTTGAGCATAGCCATGAGGTGGTGGCCATCCTGCAGGTTAGCCTCAGCATCTGCTTGAACCTCATGTGCCTTTTGCCATTCCACTAAGCTGAGTTCCACACTGGGTATGCACTCCAGAACCTCAGATCTTCATGGAACATAATATGCAGAAATTAATAACACACAATATAAATGTTTAATTATTATAATAACTAAACAAACAAGACAGTATATCATGAATATATTCTCAACAGCTGGACTATAGCACACCAGTGTACCTACTTATTACTTAGCCAGTCAGCTTTCATTTCTGCTATTCTCACAGCAAACATACTGAGTGTGAGACCTCGCTCCAGCTGCTGCCGACTTTGTCTTGCGCCTGATACCAGAGCTTGGTCACCCCCATACACCGCACCTGTTGGTTACAGAAATAAAAATTACCTTATATCCTATTAATATATATCTGAATATTAAGATATCTAAATTTTACCATCCTAAAAATAAGACACTGTATTTCTTTTACTTACCAGCATAGCCTGATTCACTGTCTGGTGTCCAGTCAACTAGTGGATCATAAATAAAGGCTTCTAGCAAGGTCAGAAGCGTTTCACGTCCCCTTCGCATGGTCCTCAAGACCTGCTCACAGGCATTCCTAAACACACCCTGAAAAAAAAAACAAGAGAAAAATACATACCAAAGACAAAGGGAAAAAAAAAAAAAAAAAAATCAAAGATTAAAGATATATATATACTACTTCCTAAATTGCCTGAAATATACTCTGAGAAGAAAACATCAGCTCTATGCTTCTAATTTACCTCAGTTCCTGTTACTCCAAGTGCTGCTTCGATGTTATGTGTCATGCGATATGGCACTCTTTCTGGGACACGTAGGTTTTTACCTTTCTCAAAGCACACATTGTAATCAATGTGAACCACCTGTAAATACAATGCATGATTATCTATAAAGGCACTGCTTAAACTTTCACATTATTATCTTAATATGATAACTTAGATCTTAAAAATGTACTATACAGAATAATATTTCCTGTAAAAACATTATGTACAAATACATAACCTAAACAAGCATTATTTTTACCTCTCCAGATGTTAGGTTTACAAGAACATTATCAAGATGCCTGTCACCAAGACCAATGATATAGCCAATAATGGACATCACTGCAGTGGAAATTGAGTACGTCTGGGTCAAGCGCCACCAGTCCCCAGCACTGACACTACACATCCACAATTCCCTGTAAAATAAATTGAACATTAAAGTTGGAACATGATCTCAAACTAAATTCTAGGTCTACTCACTATCTCCTAAATAAAATTCCTTACTTGTATACAGTCATTCAACATCTGAACTAAATATACATACATAATCAATATCCAAAGTTTTTGTAGCTGCTGCAAAGACTCTAGAGAGCATTCTAACTGGTACGTATCCCTTAGAGTAGGGATGTGTACCAGTCAAATGGCTTGAGGTCAAAAGGGGGTTAAGAAATATCAGTGTTGATTTTAGGTTTAAACGAAAGCTGCCATTTGTATAAGAAGTACAAATGCATAAGATAATATAGCACATTAAATAACTACTTTTTGAGGCATGGCTGGGATGTTAAATTCAATATTAAGTTATAGCTCAGAAACTGCAACAATTTCAATTCTTATGCTGCAACATCTATATTATATATGGTTTCTAAAACTTATTAGTACTATCATTATTCACTGAAATACAGACAGCATAGGAATAGAAAAAGAAACTGAGGAAAGAAAAAAAGAATGTAAAAGTGATATGAATCTTAATGAGAAACCGTAACGAAGGAAAAGAGTAATGAAATTTCAGTTTCTAAATAAGGAAATTTATTTTTGATAAATCTATTAATTTACTTGTTTAATATACTTGTTTATTATTTAGGGGTTAATAGTAAAAAAAGATTTGTGGCACCTGCCTCTGAAGAACTTGTAATAAGAAAAAGATAATACCTGTGACAATTTTTAATCAAGCTCAGTTTGAAAAGACATAAACCTTCTGCAAATACCTTGAAAGCAGGTTGGATGGAGTCTCTTTAATCAGGTCTTTCAGAACGTCCCTCAGAATGCCAAGAGGCCACTCCTTACGGTTATCCAGACTGACTCCCGCCTCTCGTAGTTTGGGTGTCAACTTGCTGTAGTACAGTTCTGAAGGCCGTGGAACTTGTGGGGGAGCTGATGAAATAGATGGAATAAGATACAAGAAGGAATGTCTCAGAATAACAAACAAAACAAAGAAACAAAACAAAACAAAAACAAAACAAACACACAAAAAAGAAAAGAAAAAGGTGTGTGTGTGTGTGTGTGTGTGTGTGTGTGTGTGTGTGTGTGTGTGTGTGTGTGTGTGTGTGTGTGTGTGTGTGTGTGTGTGTGTGTGTGTGTTTATATATATATATATATATAAATATATATATATATATATATATATATATATATATATATATATATATATATATATATATATATATATATATATATATATATATATATATACATATATACATATATATATATACATATATATATATATATATATATATATATATATATATATATATATATATATATATATATATATATATATATATATATATATACATATATATATACATATATACATATATACATATATACATATATACATATATATATATATATACATACATATACATATACATACATATACATACATACATATATATATATATATACATACATATATATATACATATACATACATATATATATATACATATACATACATACATACATATATATATATATATATATATATATATATATATATATATATATATATATATATATATATATATATATATATATATATATATATATATTTATATATATACATATATACACATATTCACAAAGTTTGATATTAATACTCAGCAACCTCATTGCAACTATTGCCTTCTATAAGATCACAATCCTAAATCAACCATAAACATACACTGATGGAAGTGCATTAAATATACCATGCTTATAAGATACAAGGCCAATACAAAAATGAAATTTTCTACTAGAATCAATCTCACACATAAAAACAAACCTTGCGGATGGATGGATGCAGCAGAGGAATGATTTTTGAGCAACAACGCATGTGCTTCCCGTTGCTGCCAGCGCTTGTAGAGACCGAAGAGTGGTGTTGCACTGCCAACCCACTGAATCAGGCCTGAACGTGGTCCAAGTGGCACCACAGAATAGTATCTGGCTCGATACACACAGTCTTTACCCCTAGAAAGTTCATTAAGAAGCTCATCAATTTTGTATCATCTAGAGATGATGTTACTGACTTTTTAAAAATACTTGCAATTGCTAATGGACTTCATGCCTATATCACTTTTACACATAATGATCTTCAATAGGCTCCTAATGTCAGAGCAGAGATTTCAAGAGTCAAAGCAAGTGGTAACAATACATCTTTTTCTAATGATTCCCATCAAACAATTTAATTACCTCTGGTTCTTCTCCAACATTGTATTAACAATTTCTAAGAATTGCATGATCCTCTCATCCAAGTGCAGATCTTCCAGTCCTTTGAACAAGTATGTATATCTGAAAAAACAATTTGAAATAATAAAAATATGTAATAATTAATTTTCCAGTTAGAATCTTTGAATGCACTGATATGATATGAACTTATTTTATAGTTCTGTAGTATGTACAGTTTATAAGTACACAAGGTATAAATAAGTAACCATCATCATAATGTCAAAGCAAATACTCAACTCAATAATCATACAATGTAACTGGCAATTCATCCTTTAGAACCTAATGAAAAGTACAAAAGAGCCAACAGGGAATAGAGGTAATTTCAATACCTTTATTTCACAATACTCACTAAGCTGTTTTAATACTAAGTACATTCTTTCATCCTCTTATACAGTAATGAAATCTCAAAAAGAAATTTAGCTATGTTTAACAAATATAAATTTTCAAAACTGAGATGACTTACTTCTTGCCATCTGATCCTTGGAAGCTAAGTTTCTTTGGCTTGGTCTTTGTGGGGAGAATTGATATGTTTCCATCTACTGATGCTATGGTGATAACCTGTAATTATTGATGATATCAATAATAACTGTAATAATAATAATTACATAAAAAATGATGATGATGATGAGAGAAAACAATACATTATAATAATGATGACATATTTTGTTGCTATTATTACTTATGATAATCCTAAAAATGTGAGCAGGACCATCATACAAATCAGCAATCACAGTAATATAATCATAGTTTGTTTTTACCTGCTGTGAAGCTGACACAACACCTGGCATAGCAATTTTTGTTGCAGTCAGTGCTGCAAGCTTGGGGGATATGTCAGCCATCTTGAGAGCTGAAGATGCTCTCCGATGTGCTCTCTGTTGCAGCATCTGTGCAATATGAGATAATAACATTTACATATGTTATAGTGAATATCATGCCATAATAATATTTAGAACAGCAACAATTAGAACAGTGTTAGCAAAAAGAGAACTATTTCCCAAAAATTAAAGGAATGGGATAAAGAGGTGAAGTCAGGTAGTCCTATTTGTGCAACCATGTATGTGTAGACATAATTCACAAAGCAAAACTGCATTGGCCAGAGTATGTAACCAGTGCCAATGGGTTGAAAGATTTCCATTATTAATATTCTTAAATAAGAATTTACAGCTTACACAATACCTAATTCATCAAATAACATGAGATTCTCTGTTTAACACCAAGGAATTGAACATCAAATGTAGAAACTTAGTAAGGTATCTCAAACGCATAAAAACACACACCTGATGGAGCTGCCTTAGGCCAGACAAGGCAGCCTGAGGCTCAAAATAACTCTCAGGTTCCCTTAAACTACACAGGGCTGAGGATATCAAGGAACCATATGTCTCGTGGAAGTGTCGTTCGTGAGGCGTCTCTGGAGTAGCTGATGTGATGTCTGCTAACTGATCTAGCACAAACAGAAGCTGGAAAAAATATTTTACAAATTAGCTGAATTACAGATGTAGCATCCATAGAGTTGGCTAAAAAAAATCTATATCTAAATCCATGAAAGACATAGAACAGTACTGTAGTTTCAATTCTTAGATCAATCTTCACTTCCTACTTTGATGTATAAGAGAGGCCAGCTACAACAATTATTTCAGACACATTTAACCCAATCACTATGGATTTATGTACTCTCCCTAGTAGTTTTTTGTGAATTTTGTTAAATACAGGTGGCTCCACGTGTGCTTAGTCATCATGGAGTCTATCAGGAGACCCTAATAAATGCTCCTGATTTCCCTATTCCTTGAAATTGCAGGAAAATGTGTATTTCTTTCTAATACTTGATATCAATACAGTTACTATTTTCACTGATATTATGATTATTAGTGTTATCAAAGTCTTGGTTACATTAATGACAATGAAATGATACAAAAGAAACTTTCCAAAAATCAAGGAAAAGGGTAAACAGGAGAGATAAGTAGGACTAATAACTGACTCCTTGGTGACTAAGCATTTGTAGAGCCATCTGTGTATAAACCAAAAAATAAACTTATATTACAGTAGGCATGGCTTGCATTCTAGTCACACGTGCTAATTGGGTTAAGAGGTTCAATGTGCCTTGAGAAGTGAAAGCAATAATACTGATCAAAACTGGTATATCAGCATATGCAATCTGAACGATTTTGGAAAAGCAGTTAACATCCATAAAAACCCTCTTCTGTATGAACAACTTTGGCAGATTATCCTCATTCAAATACATACTGGCTTGAAGATGATGTCATATTTCTTCTTAATAAGCTGAGTTTTCTCAGTCTGCGTCAGAGATGAATTGTTATTCAATCTTGCAATTTCTGCTGTCAATTGGTGGCACTTTCTAGACATGTCACTGTGGTGTTGAGCCAAGGTTCCTAGCCATAATTCATCCCAAAGGACAGTAATACGACGAAGTTCGTGAACAAGCATCTGGACTTCACTAATGCTGGATCCAACCTGAAGATTTAGATCAAATTATGATATATGCATGAACATGATGTAAACCTATACAGCAGATGAAAGAAGTACATATAATAGTTACTACTATATGTATTCATGAATGAAGAAGGAAAAAACTATCATATGTTATAATAGCAAAATACAAACAGATCAATTATGTATACTATAAATCTGATACACAAGTTCTGCACTGTGGAAAATCTGACTTTTGACAGAAGCTCCAATTCTAATGAATTACTACAAGTGAACTACAAAACAAGCACAGTAGTATTATTCATGAATCATAAATTTTACGTTCTTTGCATGGATGTAAAGACACTTTTAATGGTCAAGGGATAATCATTAAAGAATGATTTCCTTATTTTTTGTGTACCTGTTTAGTCAGGGTATCTACTAGAGATGAGAAACAATTTCTCATAACTGTTCTTCTCTCCTGTTCTTCAGATGATTCAGATATAAGTTCCTCTTCTTCCTCCTCCTCTTCTTCTTCATCAACCTGGTCATACTCCTCCTCCTCCTCCTCTTCGTCTTCATCTTCCTCACCAAGCGTTGGTTTCATTTTTCTTCTGTGTCTTCCTTTGTGCAGGTACTTTGCCAACATATCTATCATAATCCATAATGTCTTGAATTTCTTGCACACTCAAATGTATATAAGCAGTTATTCATGTTAGAAATCAATAAAGAATAATCATAAAATTTCATATCCAGCTACATGTATGAAAGAAATATTTCTCACCTGTCAATGATGCCTGATTGGCTGCTACATTTCCACCAGCTGAGCCAACCACAGCTGGAAACACAATCAAATGTGGGAAGTCCTCCGCCAGACGACACAGAAGCTCAGAGATGCTGCTCCTTACATAGTGCTCAGGGTGATTCAGACGTGCAAACAGCTGTAAATTCAAATATGTCACTAATTGTTGGAGAGAGAGAGAGAGAGAGAGAGAGAGAGAGAGAGAGAGAGAGAGAGAGAGAGAGAGAGAGAGAGAGAGAGAGAGAGAGAGAGAGAGAGAGAGAGAGAGAGAGAGAGAGAGAGAGAGAGAGAGAGAGAGAGAGAGAGAGAGAGAGAGAGAGAAAGAGAGAGAGAGAGAAAGAGAGAGAGAAAGAGAGAGAGAGAGAAAGAGAGAGAGAAAGAGAGAGAGAGATAGAGACAGAGAGAGAGACAGAAAAGAAGATGAAGATGAAGATGAAGAAAAAAAAAAGATGCAAATAATGAATGAATAAAATAAAATAAACGTATCGAATTGCTATAATCATGTTTTTAAAGAAACAAATATTTAGAGAAATAAGGAAGCATCAACAATAAGATTACCTGAGGAATGATTGTCTTCCAGGGACGTGTAGGTGTCTCAGCCAGACCCTTTTCTAATACTTCTCTCAACTCAGAAGCATGCTTTACCATCAGACGAAGCAGTCTTAATGTAGCTACTGTGCACTGGTCAGCATGGCTTGCAGCATACTAATACAGAAGGGAGAGAGAGAGAAAAAAAAAAATTGCAATCATTTATATTCTTTGGTAATTTCTCAAGAAGCAAATTACATTCAATATCAACATGGTCCTAATGAGGAAGTTACTTTCTCACCCCTTGGCTGATTTTCAGGAACCTGAAGTATGCTTTTGCAGCTGCTGTGAGGACAGTGTAATGCCTTTCTTGTGCTGCTTGATGAACCTCTGCCAGAGTTGTACTTAGGTCTGTTACTGTATTCCCAGTCAATCCCCAAGATTGCAGGGTTGATGTAATCTGTGTTCCAACCTACAGAAAAAGTATATTTGACAGATATTATAGCCACAATTCCTTTACAATAAATCTTCAAGATGTGAATGAATCATTCATAGTAATAATAATAATAATAATAATAATAGTAATAATAATAATAGTAATAATAACAATAATAATAATTTCCATCATTTCACCAATTAGGTATCATTTCTGCAACTATCTATAGCAATTTCTATATGCAATAAATATCACAATAAACTAGAGAGTCAAACGTGATTCTTACTTGCTGTGTCCCTTGAACTTCTTCCAATCGCAGATCCTCTTCATCCTCTTCTGTGGCGTCTTGTCCTGGTCGCCAACCTCCTATGAGGGAACAAATCTCTTCTATCCTTTCCTCTACACTTGCAGTATCATGACTAATTGCAGGAGATACGATGTCCTTTATACGAGACCGATCTTCCTCTGACAGCTGGCCTCCATTGCTGTTACTGTGCTCAAGTATTCTTCTACCCCATCTAATGTAGTGGAAGAAAATTGTTGCATTCATATGAGAAGATGCCATCAAAATACTAGAAATTTATACACAGAAAAAATAATGCTAAACTCTCCACTGCATTTTCCTACAAAAATAACTACACTATTCAAGAATATTACCTGAAGCACCATGAAGCAATATGGAACCAGACTTTTGGCAGAGTTGGACACTGTGTTGCAGCAAGGGTAAGAATATGACCCATGTTGCTTTCTAGCTGAGGAAGAGTTGGGTGATTGACTTCTGCTAGAGGCAGCAACTCCTCTGGTGCAAAATCCTTCATTTCCTGGTAAACTGAAATTCACATATCCTTATGTTCTTTCTTCTTATGACATCACATTTTCCCATAATAAAAATATATTAATTATCATTAATATTTTCATGAAATTGTCAATAAATAGGTAAAAAGATAAAACTGATAACCAAAGTACCTGCAAGGAGCTTATTCATCCATTCTGGGATGTCAGTCACTGAATCCCCGGAGAGCATCAGCAAACGCCTATCATCCTGTGCCCACCACTTGTTGAGGGTTATGATGGAACGAGCACAAAGGTGGCCAGCCTCATTAGGGGGTAGTGTGAGCAGGTTTGTGTCTGTTGCTGCTAAGGCTGCCAAGCTGGGATTTAGACCAACTACTGCTCCAGCAAGGACTGAACACCCATGAGAGATGTATCCCTTGCTGTATGGATGTATAAGTGAAATATGTTACCCAAGTGAATATCAAAAATGTCCAGTTTCTTCTCTCATTACCACACATCTTCATAATTTGAGCAATTTTGAATATAATGAACATATAAATAAAATTGAGATTCAGGTACAAACCATGCTAGGAGTTTGGATGCTTCCCTGTGTAGCTTTGCCTGGAGAGGGTTGTACTCTGCACCAGGAACAATTTCAAGCACTGATTCTGCCAAATTGGAGCTTACTCCTAATAATCCTATCAAAGTGTTTTCTGCGAAGTCCATGTTCTCTTGTTTACGAGCTTGCTTGGCTGACAGGAGGTCTAATTTAGTGATTGAAGCTGAAATAAAAAAAATAACCAGATTGTTCAGTTCTTAAAATACTTACAGTAAACATGAACAAAATCTGAATAGTAAAATACAGGTGGTGGTGGAATAAATCAAGGAAGATGAAGAGGAGAATAGAAAATGAAGACGATGCAGAGATGAGTATAAGCATGAGGAAGGGAAAGAGAGAGGAAAGATAAAGTGGCAGAAAGAAGAAAGTGAAAAAAACTAAATATGAAGAATAATACTAATAAGTCACATAACAAACAGTAGAGGAAGCTCGTGTAAAACATCAGGAGAATAACAATAACAGTATCAGCGACACGATGATGTAAGAACCTCAGTGTTTTCAACCATAAATGGGTTACTGTGCCTGTTCTATTTCAGACATTCATACCATTAAAAAAATGCACAAAATATTAAGATATTCATAGCAATAATTAATATAAAAAGCAACGCACTTGGAGTAACCGCAGGATTAATTCGTCCAATGAGTTTGGCCCATCGTGACACATGAGGAATGAGGTCTGCAGGAAGGCTCATGAGATTTGTGTTCTCCCAGCCCTCATGCAAACGTCCAGCGCCCATGGAATCGTTGAGAATACTCCGCAGCTGAAAAAAAAAGGAATGTATATTGACCTCCATGTATAATGCTCCTTTAATCTAAGGAGGATGAGAATAATTTCAATATTGATAATACCATATCATAGATAATCTTAATGCCTCTCCCACTGATTCATTAAAAAAAACATACATAAAGAATCATGCATACACATACACACGTATACAACCATGCACACATACAAGCACATATGCACTTGAGCATGAATATCCACATCCACACAAATATACAAATACTTTTGAATGGAAAAATTCTTCCATACCTCATGGAGGACTTGGTGAAGTAAAAGCGAATGAAGATGCATGGCAGAGTAGGAGGACATTGTGGATAACTGCAACATCCACTCCACTTGATCTTGACATTCTGCTACAATTTTACTTAAGGTTTCCCTGAAGTAAGAACAATAACAATTATAAAATACATGAATAGAAATGAACTGTGAATCTATGGTACACCTTCCTTTCTCGTAGTTATCCTTTTCTTATATATATATAAAATACTATCAACAAGTACTTCATGAAGAGACGACCCAACCTACCTTGAGGTTGAGGGCTGAGGATAAACCGTAGATGTGAAAGAGTGTAGAAGAACAGTGTTTATATCCTGGAACCTCTTCCAAGTAATCCAATCCTGAGGCTTTGTCCAGTCCACCTGGGTCACCGCACCACCAAGGCTTGTCATAACTCCCACAGGATCAGCCGAGTCAAAATGTGCCAATGCCCTGGAATGGATTGTATATTGTGCTTATCTATAAAGAACTAGAAAGAACAACTTGTACATCCAATACCATTACAAACATATTTTTGATAATTATAAATAGTAAGTGTGATGTTGCCGATATGACATACCAAATGAAGTTACAGTTACAGAGGAAATATAAAAGAAGAACCATATACTTAATAAATTAATTACATAATTACAGCCTCAACATTCTCAAGATATCTTGCACCCATTTCCCTTATACAGCACTGATTTATATTTGCATTACTACGGTTAGTACCCATTCACTTACTGTACATGAGAGAGATCTTTGTATGTGTTTAGAAGGCCAGAGGTAACAGTTATAGGCTCGGATTCCTCCTGTTTCATCTGTATTTGCATCGTCCACTTCTGGAGCTCTCCCCATTGACTTAGCCTGCTGTAACACTCTGCAATCTGTCAAAAATTAATACATGAGAAAAAGAAAGGAATTTATAGGCCTACAGCTTTACTATAGTGAAATACTTTAAGAATACTTTCACATGAACACTTTCTCAATATAGCACTAGAACCATGTAGGTGTTTCTCTATATTTGTGTACATTTCTTCAGATAAGAATAAAAATAACAAAAAAGAATACATGAATTGTTCTGATTTATAGAAAACCAATTATCTGAAGGAAAAAACATAAACACAAAGAAAGGAAACATCCTTAGTTATCACTCACTCTTTCACCATAGGTTTGTTTGTCAATTCTCTTACACCATGTCTATTTTCACACTTAAACCTAACATGAATAGTCTGATAAAGAACAGGTAGAGTAAAGAGAGGAACATTTTTTTTTTTTTTTTTTTTTTTTTTTTTTTTTTATTACATACCTGAGCATGGATGAATTCCTGTATTAAAGGATCTTGCTGTTTCATGTCTGAATGGTTGGCAATTGCAACATGCTGGGTAGATATCTCCTCCTCTTCACTCTTAAGTTTATCAATTTCATCTGCTTCCTCTCCTCCACCCTCAAGGAAGTGCATGAAGCCCCTTAAGGCTTTCTCATACCTGTGGAAGTAAGAATTGCATATCTAAATATTTGGACACATTTTGAATCATTGTGTAAAATCAAATCTGTGGTGTCATTTTTAAGCAAAAGTTATTTTTATAGTAATGGATGGTCTATATCGATACGAAAATCCAATATCTAGCTAACAATATGATGTTAGAAGAATCTATTTTCATAATTAGATTTTCAATAACTGGTATAAACCTGAATATACCATACTATTTAGATCTCTAACAGTATATGCATTAAATTTTCAAAAATCATAAAAACAAAAACAACATACGTATGACAGCTGCAGATAATACCATCATCTCCATATAATGTATTTATATATGTAACAAAAAACAATAACACCACATTATCTTACTTATTGCCAGCACTGTAAACTGCAGGCTTAAGCCAGGCAAAGCGTCTTCCAATGTGGTCACGGCACCACTGGTATAAACCTGAAACTCCTTCATCGCAACCTTCAGCAACTAAGGCCCGTGCACAGTAGCAAACAGCTCGTTCAAAGTCAGAACTCTGAAAGATAAGTTTTAATAGAGAAATTTGATTAAATTTATTACAAAGTTAGGATTTCAGCCTAATTTGAAAACAATTGACGATAATGTGTTTCAAGCAAAACACAAAATTCAGAGAAATTCAATTTGTAACAACATAAGAGTAGGCCGAAAATTAACTATTTACTTGTGTGTTGTTATTGTCTTTTAGTTCCTGCAGGAGTTTGTAGGAATGCCGAACAGCCACTTCCGGACGCCCACAATTGAGTGCAACAACGATGACTGCAGCTCTTATGCGACTCAGCCATTCAGTGCAGGTCTGACGATTTGTCCTAAAGAAGGCTCTGACACTCTGTAAAAGGATTAAAAAGTGTTGAGATGTGTGTTGCAGCTTAGACTGCGCATTTCTTCTTTATCTTTCTGCCTCTTAGTGCAAGTTTGACTAAATCATATAATAATGATAAGTACCTCTGCCCAATTTCTTGTAAATGTCTGTATTTTCCAGTCAGTCTGTGCAGTAAATCAAAATACACTCCATTCCATGTGTGACATCAATAGTAAGAATACCACTACCTAATAATATCTACAGTGGTGTTTGAAGATACATGTTTCTACTACAGTTCACAGACTGTATATCTATATATATGTTCAAAAATGAAGATCCCAATAACTCATAAAAGATATTCTGACCCTGAGAAACCTACCTTATTTGGTGGTGGCACAGCAACAGCACATCCATCACTAGCATTGAACATGGCTTTCTCCAGACTCTCCAAGAACTCTACTAGCAGCATCACAGCTAGGGAGTGAACCTTCACGTCATTTCCACCTTTTTCATTACCATTCACACTTTTGCCAGTTTTCTCATCCTCCATCTTGCTTATTCCTTGACTTTTCTCGGCTGTCTGGCCACACTCTCGGACTTCCTTTGCTCGACCCTTAATGGCACCTATATAAGAAATCAACACTCGGTAAAAATATGAGAAAGGACATTTTCCTGCAAGTGTAGACTAAGATTATTTTACTTATCACAAGCAAAAGCAAAGCCCAAAATTACCTTCAATACTAGTAAATGTGTCCTGTGGCTTTCCTAATGTAGTCCGTAGTTTGCTGGCAATGCAGTGTTGAGCAGGTTCCCAAGCCAACCACTTCCACAACAAGGTGCGAAGATGGGAAGCTAGCACAGGAAGACTCAGGTCCTCTGCCTTTGCCATCCTTTCGACTCTTTGGCTAACAGCAAAGAGGTCTTCCTGCCAATACTCACCTCTGTGAAAAGGAATGTGAGAAGATGCAATGCTTATTGTTTATAATTTTCTATTTGTAAAGGAGAAAAACAAGAAATATAAATATAATCTTAATTTTTATAAAGAAAAAAAAAAACAAAAAAAAACAATGATCACGCACACACACACACACACACACACACACACACACACACACACACACACACACACACACACACACACACACACACACACACACACACTCACGCACACACGCACACACGCACACACGCACGCATGCACACACACACACATGCACGCACACACACACACACACACACACACACACACACACACATATTTCACGCTATCAAATATGACAAAAACAGTAGATAGAATGAACTTGTTTCCGTTGCCAAGTCTGATGATACAAAACATAGTGCTTCACAATAACCAGGGAATCATCCATGACAATATGATAGCAAGACCTAAACTAAAACTTACTTAGGCTGTGAAACATGGAGTATAAATGCCATTAGCGTGTGGAAGGCATTTGAAGGTAGCTGGCCTGCTGTTGACCGTAAAACAAAGTGCCTCTCTAGACTTTTCACTGATGAAGAATCAAGACTACCAATCTCAACATTGGATGATGAATCAGTCTGCAATATATATAGATACATTCAAGAAAGGAAAAAAGAAATGTGAAAAAAAAGTAAGGCATGTTATCATTGTTGTTTTTTGTCGTATCTTTATATATGTTTCAAACATTTTTAAAAATCAAGGCAAAAAAATTGTTCTAAAACAAACCTTGTTTGCGCTAAATTCATTTTCTTCATTTGTGTTTAAACAACACATGGCATGCGAGACAGAACTGAGAGGAAGTCTAGCCAGGAGGTCTAAATAAGCACTGCGAATTTTAGGCTCATTGTGGCTCATATGATGGAGGCATAACTTTACAACTTCTTCCAAATTATCCATCTGAAAGCAAAACAGACCAGATTTGATTACTGGAAAACAGTGAAACACCCCACTTAGAATCCTTTATTTTGAATGACTGCCATAGATATCATGAGCTGATTAATTTTCATTAAAAAAAATCAAAAGCAAAAAAATGTTGATTCATATTCATTACAAAAAACAAGTAATTAATTTTCACAATAACAGTCAAGAATAAATAACACCATCTTTCAATCTTTCAATTCCTTCCATACCTGAGTGGGTGGTAACACAGCAAACACAGAGGTTAAGCTGGCAGCAACAGCAGATGTAACTGAATTGAGATGATGGTAACCAGTTTGTACAATGGTGTCTATCATCTGGGTAAACACTTTGATCTTGAGCAGCTGAGGTAAGGAAGTTTCACTACTGCTGACAAGATCTGCTGCCCATTCTAGACACAGCTGGATGATGTTGGCCCCAGTAACTTGTCTCTGTAAGTTATTGAAAATGGTTTTGGTGAGGAAACGACCTGCAGATGATATATGGTTTAATCCTGCATAAAAAAGACTCTGACAGTTAGTGGCCTACAGCTGATATTTGCCTATCCATAAATCTTTTTTTTACACTGATCAGTATTTTTTAAGAACATGTTAGATTAATATTTTATTGTGACATTCTCAGATGATCACAACAAAACAAATAATAATTGACCCATCTCTCTTGCAACAAATGGCCATAAAATTACTCTCCTCAGTTAACACAAAAAAATCTTGTCTCTTCCCCCTCAAACAAGAAAAAAACTCACCTGTCGCAACACTGCTGTCAAAGTAGTAAGTATTGTAGTAAGATTCTCACTGGTGGAGGATCCAGAGGAGAAACTTCCTGGTGACCCTCCAGAAAATGTTGTGGAGACTGAGGGTGGAACAAATGGAGATGTTGCCCCCACGATCAGGGTGCTGGAGCTTATATAGTGGGAATGCTTGGAACAGTGTGAGTACAGCAGGAACAAGATGGCATGTTGAACCTGTTTTCAGAAAAAACATTAAAAAATATGGAAAACATAGTAATGGTAAATAAATAAACATGAATTAATCTGCTGTCTACACTTAGGTAGTACTGAACTGTTTCTGATGTGATACAAAAGTCTCAGTGGCTCAGTACCAGTCACATATATTCTATTCATTTGCCTACTTCTAATAATGTAGTTTCTACTTCTATTGCACCTATATACAACTATTAAACAAATATCTACCTCAGGGTAATGCAGAGCCAAGTGAGAGCTGGAAGGAGTGAGATGTGTTGCCAGCAGATCAACAATGGGAGGATTAAGTGCCCACATGGTGATGATGGAGTTTCTCGTATTTGCCACCTGTGCATACCAAGGGATGGCATTGAAATATGGAACATTGATACATTATATACAAAAATGGATTATCATATCAGAAATTCTCACATAAAGTTGTAAAAAAAGGAAAGCTGTAATTAGTAATAAATAATGTGCATACCTCAGCTAATACTGTCATGAGATACATCATCAAAACAGTTGCTTCCCTCTCATTATATGAAACTCCCTCTAAAACAGTTGTTGCTGCAAAGCTGGCTGCTTCTGGTACTAAAACACGATGAGCAATCTGTAAATCATTATAAAAAAATCAATTGAGAAGTGTGCAAGCTAAGAACTAAACTAATGCTATGCTATGCCAACTACAGATGATGCAGTGAATAAATCTGTGTATCATGCAATTTTGTATCAGCAAAGAAAGTAAATTGATATACAAATATTAGATTCAACCTACATTATCTGTTACACTGCCCTCCTTACCTGTAAATCTGCAAGTATGTAGTTGTAAGCTTCCTGCAGTAAAGGAACATTCTTCAGGCTGAGTGCAGCATGGTACACTCCAAGGGTAGCCTGCCACACTTGCCGGTGTGGAGAAAGGCGTAAGCTACGCAGGGGAGAGCTTGTGCCAAAAATCTTCTGTATGAATTCTACAGATAAACTGCTGCCGATCTGCTTCAACATCTACAGGTAAAATAAACACTACATAACACAAAATTCCCTTATAAATATAAATACCATTTTCACATGTGCTTTTCACATTACAAATACAGTAAATATTGTGTAAGATATGTTATCAAACAATTTCTCAATAATTTTCATTTTAAAAAATAAGAAAATAAAAAAATAAAATAAAAACCGATAGACAGATATGAATAACTTACCCGAGTAAGTAGTGTCAGATAAGACATAACCGTGGCAAAGCCCAAGTGCTCAACAAGTTTCTGCTGAAGATCCACGACATCACAGAAGTGTTCCTGAAGCCCAGACATATTTGGACTATACGGAATCAACACTAAACAAACCTGCAAATGCAATCATATGCAATAAGTAATCAAATGAACAATGGAGGTTAATACTAATCACAGAGTCATCTTTATTACAAATATAAAGTAAAAATTTGATTACATAAAAAATAAAATAGCAGATAGTGAACAGTAATGGTGTCTATTCACAAAATCAGTTATAAATATGCATATATAAATAAATCAAATATATATATTTTTCCTTTCTTTCTTTAAACAAAACAAACAGATTTAGTACTTGATTCAGAGCATCAAGGAGTGCTTCTTCCCAATGATGTTTCAAAATATTTCCTGCTCCTGTCACCATCTTCCCCAGTGCATCAACTAAGAAATTGGGTGAAAGACTTGGATTTACAGCAGGGTCAGCCTGTGGCCCAAGACACCTTAGAACTGTTGTAAAAACACTGCAAAAGAATTAAAAAAGCAATCTTACCAACACATTCCTTGTAATTTGTATCATTAACAGTCAAATGCCTTACAAATAAAATCCCCTCTGCCAGTCATATAACTCAGTATTTTAAGACAATGAAAAAAAAAAAAACATATATAAAATAAATATTTAAATTACCTAATAAATGCAGCTACTTTCTTGGCACAGATAACTGGGTCTGATGCCACTTCATCTTCAGGTGTTGAGCGACCAGACATTCCTCTTTCCAAGTCCTGGAAAAAAATGGAATCATAAACAAATACAACACAGCTATACCCCAACACACAAAGAATATCAGTGAAGTATTTTTTTTTCAAGTTTCCTTCATCTACATTTACTCTCCTCTTTTGCTTCCATTATCTTTAAATTCTATCCATCTATAAGCTTCATCAATTTATACCTTGTGGACTTTAATTTCTAGTTTGTTACAAATTACTATAAAACACAATCACATATTTCAATAACAAAAAAATACACTTATGCACATCCATAGTCTTATTAAAAAAATAAGATGAATGAAGAACAATTACCAACAGAATTTGTAAAGAGAGGACTTTGCTATAAATCTACATGATTATTACATTACCTCACAATAGTCCTCCATATCCTCAACAAACTGTGAGAGAAGAGTTGCTGCAATGGGGACATTTGCTAGCCAGAGTTGTGAGAAACTTCTCAGTGCCATAGACACATACTTCATAACTTCTGGTGACTGATGATGGTCAATGTGCCATCCTACCAGTATGTCAACAATATCCTGTAACAGAAAATATGTGTGAAATGTGTTGAATAATAAAAACAAAACAAACAGATTTAGTACTTGATTCAGAGCATCAAGGAGTGCTTCTTCCCAATGATGTTTCAAAATATTTCCTGCTCCTGTCACCATCTTCCCCAGTGCATCAACTAAGAAATTGGGTGAAAGACTTGGATTTACAGCAGGGTCAGCCTGTGGCCCAAGACACCTTAGAACTGTTGTAAAAACACTGCAAAATAATTAAAAACACAATCTTACCAACACATTCCTTGTAATTTGTATCATTAACAGTCAAATGCCTTACAAATAAAATTCCCTCTGCCAGTCATATAATTTTCAGTATTTTAAGACAATGGAAAAAAGAGTATATATATAAAATAAATATTTAAATTACCTAATAAATGCAGCTACTTTCTTGGCGCAGATTACTGGGTCTGATGCCACTTCATCTTCAGGTGTTGAGCGACCAGACATTCCTCTTTCCAAGTCCTGGAAAAAAAATGGAATCATAAACAAATACAACACAGCTATACCCCAACACACAAAGCATATCAGTGAAGTTTTTTTATTCAAGTTTCCATCATCTACATTTACTCTCCTCTTTTGCTTCCATTATCTTTAAATTCTATCCATCTATAAGCTTCATCAATTTATACCTTGTGGACTTTAATTTCTAGTTTTGTTACAAATTACTATAAAACACAATCACATATTTCAATAACAAAAAAATACACTTATGCACATCCATAGTCTTATTAAAAAAATAAGATGAATGAAGAACAATTACCAGCAGAATTTGTAAAGAGAGGACTTTGCTATAAATCTACATGATTATTACATTACCTCACAATAGTCCTCCATATCCTCAACAAACTGTGAGAGAAGAGTTGCTGCAATGGGGACATTTGCTAGCCAGAGTTGTGAGAAACTTCTCAGTGCCATAGACACATACTTCATAACTTCTGGTGACTGATGATGGTCAATGTGCCATCCTACCAGTATGTCAACAATATCCTGTAACAGAAAATATGTGTGAAATGTGTTGAATAATAAACAAAACAAATAGGCCTACTGATTCAACAAATAAAAAAAAAATCCCTGAAACATTATGCAGCAACAACAACAAAAAAACAGTATTGAAGAAAAACAGCTAACATCATGAAAATAAAAAAAATGTAACATACTTGGAAATAGTTATTGAGGATATGACTGTGGTTGACATTCAGTTCCCTCAGCACATCCACAGTCGCCACCATCACCTCTGGAGTTTCTGTTCCCTCCAACACAACCTGCAACCCTTCTACAATTCTTTCTCCAACCTGAAATTAAGAAGAAATAGAGAAAGGTGAACCCATGCAAAAGAAATACCCACAATGAAATCTCTGTTCCCAATAATATAGGTACTTAGATATGATAGTATTCATGAGGCCTCACTGCTGACTAGAAGTTTCAGTGAATCTTGAATCTCTCAGTAATAAACCACTGGGATATGGAAGTAGACACTTCGACAGTAGAATTAAGAAAATAAATTCAGCAGGTTTTCCTTGATAACCTTCTGAGAAATACACACAAAGAAGAAAAAGCTTGTCATTGATGTAATTGAGAGGCACAAAATGTCTAGTCATAGACATTCCCACCAAGGCATCTTGAATGAAGGAAAAAAATATCTACCACAAATAACCTCAAAATGTGTAAAGTCCCTGCTACCTAATAACTGAGTAAAATTAAAATTATTCATAAATAAAGTTAAAAGACAGGCTTTTCCTAATAATTACCTTTCCATTTGTTACTCACTACTTACTTCAGCAATCAATAATCACTTGGTAGCAATAAATATTAAATCACCCAAGTAATTCACACATGTGTTCATATGTAAACAAGTTTCACACCTAAATGTTTATTGTCATAATTAATTATAAAATCTTGAACATATGTGCAAACTGCAGGTGTAATAATTACCTGACTCAGCTGAGAACCATCAGAATCCAATTTTAACATCTCCAAGATACACCTTAAGACCAGAACCTTCATTTCTGCTGCACGCCAAGTATCAAGTCGATCTAGTGTTACATCCACAAATCTGAAGAATGAAGAAAATCATAATAAGACATGATCATTTACAAGAAAAAGTGCAATATTGGTTTTGCTGTTTTTAACAATATCATTATCATACACACATAGCTTATGTAAAAAATTAAAGAAAAATAAATGTCAACAGTACCTCTTAATGTCACCTTCCATGACATGGCCAACACGACCAACACAGCGAGTGATTTCCCAGCGACAAGGGGGTGATGGTGCTGCATGAAGCAGTTCAAAAAGCGAGTCCAAAAGATGCTCAGCATTTCGACGAACATATTTCACATTTTCATTCAGCATTATTGATTCCTGAGTATCAGAAAGAATGTGTTGAAATAATGTTTTTATCTTGTACATCACTAACCCTACATCAACTGAATAATAATTCAAATACTATAACATTAGTAGCATAAATATATATATACACATCAATCCACAGACAGTTTTTCTTGGAATCTTTGTGTCTTCCATAAAGTTGCCTTACAATATCCATACTCTATACAAATCTTTTCAACTTCCTCTTTTATGTGAAATAAAAGGATAGTTATACAAGAAAATAGAAAAATAAAAAACAAAAAACTGACCTGAAGCTGCTGGACTTGGGCAAGATACCGCTCTGCATCATCCTCTCGAGAAAGTCTCCTTAACTGCTTTGAAATTCTTGAGTCTTCACTAAAGCCACGACTGAGATCTGTGAAATAATGAAAAATGAATAATGAGAGAGAGAGAGAGAGAGAGAGAGAGAGAGAGAGAGAGAGAGAGAGAGAGAGAGAGAGAGAGAGAGAGAGAGAGAGAGAGAGAGAGAGAGAGAAATAATAATAATAATAACCCAATGACGCCGGGTGTACAAAAGGAAAAAAAAAACTCTACGCTCTGGCAAACAAAGGCGGCGCGCCGACTTTGAGCGCCGGAGTACGGGGCGTCAGCCCGAATCACTGGCTCGCCGCGCTTTGGCGCGCCGCCGGCTGGTTTGGCCGCACGCCAGCTTTCGAGCGATTTGTTTACACGCGTATCGCCGTCACCCGGCGGCAAGGGGTTAACAATGAGTGAAAAATTATAAAACATCATTATGTTGTTTATATTATAATAAATAAATTCCATTACCTTTATGCGACCGATGTTTCACAACCTCTGTCTTCTCTGTATCTGCTTTAGGATCATCTTCTGAATGCCCCTCTGAGAGACCACGTCGCTCACCCGGCACAGAGTGACGGTGATGCGTCAGCCCTCGCCGGTAGCGGCCGCTTCCTCTTCCTCCTCCTCCTCCTCCCCCTCCACGATATTCTCGATGAATTCTTCCTCCTCCACCTTCATCTCTATCACCTGTACTGCCACCGACCATCTTCTAGTGTATCTTGAGAATAATGCAGATAACACACATGTAAACAATTACTTAATATGTATAATATGTTTACACAATTTTAGTAATAAAGAATTAGTTATCAATATCAGTGACAACGGTAGGATTCATCTCAATGTATATGGCATAAACATTATCTTATGTCTATATCTTAAGTTCATACATTACATGAAAAATCTTGCATTATGTGAACTGTAGTTTTTCCAAGTACCAGTACCTACTATTTTGATTCTACAATTATCCAATAGTCACTTATAAATCATATACAAATGAATACTGAAGTATATATGGTCACAGACCAATGAGGTGTGTTATTAGGATACTTAGTGTCATTCCTAAGTCAAGAAAAACAATATAAGTTGGGTATTTCTATCCCAAAATATTCAAGATCTTTCACATCAATTTTCTTAAAAAAAAAAAAGACTTGTCCCCTGATATTAAATGAGGGATCTTGACTTGGAACGAGGAGAATGTTCCAGTTGATAAGATAAGTTTATGCAGTGGCCTTGCAATATCAGATTTCTTTCTGCTACTCCTGACTTCCTACCAAAGTTTTTGTGCAAATATGTGCCCATTAGTGGGTCATCCATGCAAGGTATCTAGGAATATGCTCTGGCTAAAGGCAACAAACCTTCACCACTATTCAGGCAAAACAGGTAATCAATCTTCAACTGTACAATTAATCAAAGCTCTATCTTGCCAGAGTGCAAAGTGAAGAGGCTTTGGAAATTGTGTGACATTGCACCACAATCATGTTGGACTTCAGCTACAGGCAATCCATCAGATGTCAAAGTAATCTTGAAGTATAATTGGATAGAACACAACCAATATAATTACATTTTGAAAGCAATTTTAGATGCTATGTACAGTCTATATAACCACAGTGGTTCATGTATCTTTAGAAGCAATTTTAGATGCAAGAAATCCATTTTCTCGATAACCTGGTAATAAACAAATGAATAGACATAACCAGGAATAACTTTCAAACACCTCCTAATCATCCCTAAAAGTACCTGGAATCACACGAAGTCCACCTAAAAAAATAATTCATCACAAAAACAAGATTTAGGCCAGAAACCTGATGTCCACAGAACCAAAAACATAACATCATAATCTCTTCTCAAACTCACCTCTCCAAACCTAATCCAATCAGCTCTCACAAAAAACAAACCACAACATCAAACTCACCCAAAACACATACAATCCCAATATAATTAACACGCCATCGTCACTAATTTCCTCCAAAACCCAAGGTAAATGTGGCAGCAAGACGTTCCTGCTGCACCATTTGTTTACGTCTGAGCCGCCCTTGCGAACAGCGCCCGGCCTCCGTCTTCGCTAAAACGGTTAGCGAACAGGAGCATTTTTTATATTTTTTATTATTCATCTTTTATTCATTTTATTTCATTCATTTATATTTTTTATTATTCATCTTTTATTCATTTTATTTCATTCATGTATATTTTTTATTATTCATCTTTTATTCACTTTATTTCATTCTATTTTTATTTTTTATATTTTATTCAACAGAGCCCCTGGCCTCCGTCTTCTTTAAGGAAGGGTTAAGCGAATACCAGTATTTTTTATTTTTACTGTATTTTTAAGATAATTCGTCTAAAAAAAACTATACTTTTCAGCCGTGGAAGGTGTGGGAGAATAAGTCGGTTTTGATGAATCCTTTTTTTCTTTTTTTTTAGAGGGGAGGGGGATTTTAGTTTCTTTACCAGTTTCTGGATTTGATAATG